CCGCGCTCGTGATTGGAGACAGTGAGATGTGTGCGGATTTTCTACAGTAAAAATTTTGTCGTGTGGTGCCGTCTCTTGAGATACTTCTCCTTTTCTAGGCGACACGCATTGAAAAGTTTTTCTTCTGCCCAGTATGTAGGAAGGATTTACGACCCGGAGGGGTTCAGCAGATGATACCGTCGTAATTTTAACTCTACACCCTTTCGTTATGCACAACTTAATGTTTCTTTCCAACGATGCCGCGTCGGGTGTGGGGGAGTGGGGCAGCGTGGGTGCAGTGCCCTCGCCGCCGCCCGGCCGTCAGCACCCTCCACGCAGAGGGACTGCCGGCGGTTGTGCGGGGCGGGGAGGGGCCCCGACGAGATCCCGGCTACCACGCAGCCTCTTTTGGGCTGATTTGTTTATTTATGAGTGTGTGTGTGTGTGTGCGTGCGTGTAGGGGAGTTTGAGCACAATTAAGCGGGCTGTGGGCTTTCTTATTGTGTCCTTTCCTTCTTTCTTTTCTCTCTCTCTTTCTGTATGGGAGCAGGAGGAAAAACTTCACAGCCAGGCGGGTGTTCGTGGCTGTTGGCTGCGCTCGTGTTGCGCGTGTACTTCTCCCTCTCCAATTCATCGCCTCCTTCGCGTCACTTTTACTTTTATCGTGACGCGCCGTTCCAACACACGGAGCGCTTCTGGATGACTCCAGAGGCGCCATTGTGTTCCGCTTTTTTCTTGTCTCTTCGCCTTCTTTTGGGTAGTATATATTATGTACTGTATTGCTGCTTGCCGGGCGTGAAAGGGGCAACGCAAATATGTGCATACAAATATGCTTATTTGTATGCGATGTCGTGAGGAAAAAGAGCGACCACAGAGAAGGGGAGACTGAGTGAGACCGCCGCACTATTTTTCGTTTCGCATGCTTCCTGGAGCTAGTTTTCTTTTCTTTTCTCTTTCGTTTTTTTCCCCCGTTGTTGTTGTTTTGGTTCCTTTGTTTTTGTTTTTGTTTGTTTTGTTTTGTTTTGTTTTTTGTTTTTTCTCTTTTTTACTGTTGTGTTTTGTTTCCTTTTTTTTTTTTCGTCTACTTTGGCCAAACGTACTTCCTTCAGGACGTAAAAGAACTTTTTGTTTGTTTGTTTGTTTGTTTGTTTGTTTGTTTTTCTTCCTTTGAACCCCGCTGCCCCCCAACGAACCCGCGCTTCTCTCCGGCGGGCGTGGCTCCCCCTGCGCCGCCGCGGGGCTGCACTCGTCGCGGAACCGTCGCCGTCGTCGTCTCTTGCGTTTTATTTTCTGCGGCGCCGCCGACGCGCAACCACAACCACAACAAAAAAAATAGGGAAGGGGAGAAGCAGCAGCGAAGCAGGCAGACGAGGCAAGCGAGGCAACACCCCCCAAGGGATTCGGAAGAGAAGGGCCGCCCCGCGCAGAGAAAGGCCCCGCCACGGAGAGCGCAGGCCAATGCTGGTCATCCAGGTGGCCGCCGACATCTTTAACACGAAGGTGAACTTTGAGCTCACCTTCCCGCACCGGCCAACGTTGCCCGAGGTGCTGCGCGCCACGGAGGCGGCGTTCTCCAATGAAATCGCCCTTCGCCGTCCGGAGCACGTCCCGCCACATAACTTTAACGTTGCTAAGGTCAAGATGTACGATGAGGAGCGAAACAAGTGGGTGGATTTGGTGTCGGAGGGGCAGTTGACCGACTACTGCCAGTTGTACGCGTTCCAACCGGAAAACCAGTGGCACAAGGAAAGCCAAAAGGAGATTCCAGCGGCGGTGCAGCCTCCAACGTCGGCGCAGCGCCCGCTTGTAAATACCTCCACCTCGGCGTTGGGACGTGGGAATTCCAATGGTGGCTCCGCTTCGAGTGGCGTGCTCGCGCCCTACGCGGGCGGCCGTACCCCCATTAACCAACGCAGTGACCCACAACAGTTCCGTCGCTCGTCACTGCACACGAGCACAACCGGCACCCTAGTCCCCAAGATACACGCGGAGGCGTCACAGGAGGAGAAGGTTCGTGTTTTGTTCGCCGAGTTGGATTCGAAAGGGCATCGTCTGCTGGAGCCAGGGGACTTCAAGCAGGGGTTTCAGACCTTTAACCTTGACCTCTCTGCCGAGACGGTGGAGGACCTCTTTGAGAAGGCCGACACAAACCGTGATGGAACGGTTTCCTTCTCCGAGTTTGAGCGCTTCTGTCGCCTCTACCCAATCATGACGGATTGTCTTTTTTTCCGCTCAAAGGCCTTCTGGGATGAGGAGCAGCTGAAGCGTGAGATTCAGGTGGAGCGGCAGGCAGTGAGGCAGGCGGAACAGGCCGTGGAGCAGGTGCGCAAGTCAATGGAAGATGCGGAGCAGGAGGTGGTCACCGCGATGGATGCCGTCACTGCTGCTGAGACCGAACTGAAGGACCGCACAGACCGACTTCGGGATTTAACCAAAGACATGGACAACGCCAAGAAGGAGAAGGAAAGGGTCATCCGTGAGAAGAAGGAGCGTGAGAAAGAACTGGCCAGCACGCGAGATCATGAGAAGGAGGTGCGCAGGGAGTCGCAAGACATTGCCCGCGAGGCTGAAAGGTCGGATCGCCGAGCTATCGCCCTTTCCGGTGAGGCTGCCACGGCCGATGATAAGGTCCGACAGCTGGAAAAGGCGCTAGAGGAGGCGAGGCGAGCGGCAGAGCGGGCGCATGTGTCGGCAGAACAGGCGGCACGAGACACCGAGGTCATGAAGCAGCGCGCTCGGGATGCCTCCAAGGACGTGGAGGAAATGGTGCGAGAGATTGCCCGTGCGGAGGAGGCCCTGCGCGGGGCGGAGCGCAATGTCGCGGTTGCGGACAACAATGCCCGAGATCTTGAGGGATTGGGGCGGGAACTCTCCCGCGAAGCGGAGGAAGCCTCGCAGCGGCGCGACCAATACGAGCGGGCTGTGGAGGACGCCAAGAACTCGGTGCGCGCGCGGGAACAGCAGTTAGATGGAGCGAAACGGCAGGTAGACGAGCGAGAAAGTATGGCGAGGCAGAAGGAGTCCGAGCTGGAGGAGCAACGGAAACAGCGGGAACTTGTGTCCCAGCACGAGCTTGCCTTAATAGAGCAGGAGTTACGCCTACGGGAGCAGCGGGATAGTCTGGAGGAGCGCGAGACAAAACTCATGTCAGAGGCCAGTAGCTTCTTGGGTAATCTTCGCTCTCAGCTGCAGGGGGGACGGCCCTAATCGCGCGAGTAGGTAATTCCCGTTTCTGCACTTTCGACGGGTGTTCCCCGTTGAGGTGTTCTTTACTTAATTTTTATGTTCTTCTTCTTTCTCTTGTTCTTGTTCCTGCTTGGGCCTTGGCGTTTTCTTAGCTTCTTTTGCGTGTGCCTGTATTTCTCTTGTTATTCTACCGCGGCGTGAAGTGTATCTGCCCTTTAAACACAAAAAAAAACACATATTACTTTCTTTATCGTACGCGCCTGACGTCTCGTGTTTGTGGCGCGTGCCTCTCCGTGCCTGGCGGGCCGTAGGCCGCCGCGACAAGGAAAAGCAAGACCAAAGCATTGATAGAGCAAAAAGGAACAAAAGAGAAAGAAGGAGAAAGAGAAAGACACGATAGAAGCCGCGTGGGTGGCGAATTTCTCATTACTTTACTTTCCTACGATATCATCTGCCCTTCTCTCGATAGTGTTTGCTGTAGAGGAAG